ATAATTTTCTTAGTCTGTAAAACATGTCCAGGAACAAGATGCTGTATTCATAGTAGACACTCATAAAAATAGGAATGAATAAATAAAGAGAAGATGAATGCTTATGAAAGCAATGATTACAAAATGCACGTTAAAAAAATTCTAAGCACAAATGTAATGACTTAGAAAGAGTAAATGTGAACGTAAGTTGGACAACTGCTTCTTAACAAGTTAAGCTGATAGCTAACTGAGAGCATTAAGGGTGTGCAACAATAGGGTAATGGGCAAACACATGTGGAACACACAAAGAAGGGAATTATACAGTCATTAGAACTCTGAATAGCTTGTTAGAATGTAAGAAAATATTTATAATAAAATGTTAGATGTAAAACACGGGGGAAACTGCATTTGTGGTAAAATATGAATGTTTAAATACTCTAGGAAAAACTGATAAAAATAAGCAGAAAATGTATAGCAGATATATCTGGGTCATGGGATTATAGATGTTTCATTTTAATTTTGGATTACAATTTCCTTCAAAGAGCTTTTGCTGCTTTTAAATACCATTTTAAAGGATGCTTTTTAAAGTAATAAGGTTCCCCGAAATGCGAGCAGTGCAGACAGTTAAGCTAAACCTAACCAGCTTACGGTAAGGTTCACAGTTCGCACCCACCCAGCGTGCTGTAGAAGACTGGTTTGACAAGCTGCCGGGGAAAAGCCACAGCTGTGGAGTTCCCGTGAAAGGCAGCCACGCAGCATAACTGGCAACAACGGCAAGCAACCACCATAACTTGATTATGGTGGAAGAAGCACACACACCCCACCATCACCACCACCTAAACTTCAAACGGGGTAAGCAAAAATCAGAGAGGTTTACTGAAAAATCGGAGACAGAAAATGGCTTGGGTAGAACTGTGTCTGGAATCCCAAATAACAAAATGAAGATTCAATACCATACTGTCACTAGGCACCCCTTCATTCTGATTTGTCTCTTTTTTTTTAACACACTTTCCATTTGGATGGCAAGATGGCTTCCGGCAGCTGCCAGGCACATATTCTGTCCTCTCAGCAATCCTCAGTTGACAGATATACATGCGGCATTTTTCCCTCAACGGTTCTTTAAAATTAAAATTCTGAGACTGACCATCATTGTTCTAATTGAGTTTGTAACCTCCTTAAACCAACCTCTGGGCCAAAGGCATGAAATGCACTGATTTCTTCCTTTTAACAATTCACCTACAGCCAAGTGCAGGGTCAGTTCCTAACAAACCATATAAAATGAGATATGGGTGGAACACTCTAAATGCTTGTCAAGGAAGCAAAAGACAAAGACAATACCAGATTGATAGATGATACATACATACATACATACATACATACATACATACATACATACACACATACATACATACACACATACACCCCAAACCTGAAACCAAATCCAATAGGGCAGGGTAGACCTGCTTCATAGGGTTCTCCTGAGTAACACCTGGTGGGTTTCAATTTCTGACCTTTTGATTAGCAGATGAGAGCTTAACCACTGCATGATGATGATGATGATGATGATGATGATGATGATGATGATGATAGATGATGGATGGATGGATGGATGGATGGATGGATAGATAGATAGATAGATAGATAGATAGATAGATAGATAGATAGATAGATAGATGG